AGCGAAAACCACCAAAAAAAAAAAAAAAATCATGCCAGGTGCATGTGCGTGCCCCAAATCCCGAGAATGGAGAAGAGATTGCAGCATGACTATCCTTCCAAGGGGTGATTTCTCTCTCTCTCTCTCTCTCTCTCTCTCTCTCTCCTCTCTGGCAAGTTCGTAAACTATGGCAAATACCTTTTTTAAATAAAAAAAATACTGTGTGTTTGTGCTTGCATGCTCAGAAATCCTAAGGGAAGGGATTATGGTGTGACTGTGCCATGGGGGTGCTTTCTCACTTCCTCTCTCTTTCTGAAGAGCACATGTGCCCTGTAGCAAATTTATTTTATTTTATTTTATTTTATGTTTTTTGATAAATCCGAAAGTTCATTGTTTATGATGGGAGAAGATAGACATCCTTGTAATTGGGAAAAGGGAAAAAATAAGCAATCTGTATTTCCTATCAGAACTTCAAGACTTTTGCCTCATCATTCCAAGCAGCAAATGTAAAAACACACAAACAAGAAACATAGGCATCCTTCCCCAGGACCCCTAAATCTGGTGCCAACCCAGTCAAGGAAGGTTCTGTGGACAGATTTCAGCAGCTGTGAGCTCCTGCCTGGTAACTGTGGCTTTAACTTGGGGGTGGGCTACTCTGAAAGCTCCTTGTGCTTTAAGGCCCCTCCCCCCTCTCTGCAGCCCCTTCCCAGTTTCCCTTTGATCTTTGGCCCTCATGCCCTGCAGTGGACAGACAGGAACAATGTGGCCTGAGCCCTGGGGGGAGGGGAAGACATGTGTGGCAGTCCCTAAGCCCGGAGTTCCTACTCTAGTATAGAAACTACGCACTCCCCAAGGGCCACAGAGCGATGTGGGGAGGGCTGGGGAGAAGATCAGAGCAGCCAGACTCCCATGGGGTGCGCACAGGTCCCCCACAGGGCATGCAAGGAGGTAGGAAAATGGAAAAGGTAACCTTGGGAAGTTTCTGGGGATTGCAAAGGCCGGCTGGACTTGATCAAAGTATTCAATAAATCCGACTGCAGCTTGGCCAGCCTGTCCACACCTATGGAGAAGTGCCCCTGGTGTGCAGAGTCTGTGCAGCTTCTGGGGGTGGGGGTGGGGCCTCAGGAGGTAGCAGACACCCCCCCACCTGGTTCCACAGTTAGGAATTTCCAGGACATGAGAGGCCAGGGAGAACACAACAGCAGGGAAGCAAGAGGGCCCACCTGGCCCGAAGCACAGACAGGTGTAGAGAGTGTGGATTAGGGGTGCTAGGGAGTCAGAGAAGTCATGGAATCGGTGGAGTGAGACGCAGGGCAGGGTGTGGGGTGGCACTGTTGCCACAGATCCGAGGGCCTTGCTTTCTTCCCAGTCCTCCTGAGTTGAGGTCCCAGGAATGAAAACTAGAACAGCAAAACAAAAAAAAAAAAAGGGGTCTGCTGGTGCTGGCCCTTCCAGCCCCAGCAGTGACTCAGTGCTCCCCTCACTCCCCCACGGCCACCACAGACATTCCAAACCCAGCACC